TCTTGGCGGTTTCAGCGCTTCCGCTGTGTGCAGGGTATTTTCTATATTTTCTCCTATCCCTTTCCCAGATGCAGCACACGATCGATCGTCATTATTTGGAACTCTCTATCTCCGACATCCTTTGGGTGGTCTGGTGGGGGGACAGGAGCAGTCGTTGTTCTACGCCTGTGGCGTGTCCCGGCAGCCCGGCGACTCTAAAAAACTCAGAGAAAGTCGCGTCTTCCCTCCCGGCCGCCGAGGCGGTGGCGGCGCGGTCGGCATCGCCGGGGTCGCTGAGACAGCTGCTCCGGGGCGGGCGCAGGGCCCCGTCCAGGGCGCTTGTTTATGGTCGCGCGGCCGGTGCGAGCCAAGCTGCAGCAGACATGGTGGGCCCTCGGCAAGCGGGCGCTCCGTGGCCGGTAGGTGGCAGCCGCGGGCGGAGGCGTCCCTGGTTGGGCGCGGGCGGCGCACCCGGAGCCCCCCTTGGATGTCACATTTGCAGGAGACAGAGAGGAGTCTTGGACCATGTGCGTAACGCGAACGTGGGACTGTGCAATCCTCGGATTGAAATAAAGGGAGGAGTGAAAATAACCCCGGCAGCGCCAGGCTGGTTGGTGGTCAGTACAGATGGACTCCAGCCCTGTGCCGATCGCCTGCCTTCCCCCTGCCATTTAGAATAACGCAGCCCCTGCTGCTGTCTCATGTACATACTGTAAAGGACCCTGGAAGAGGGAGTGGTTCATCCTAGCTGCAAGCAAGGGCGCTATTTTTTTTTTTTTTTTAAGAATTACGTTGTATAGGCATGCCTGGGCGATCCAAGGGAATAGCAACTACTTTCAGAGAAAATATTTCTGAATATATTTGGTGTGGGCTAAAAAAGCTGGAAACCCCTAAGTAAATGCAGTACCGATAGAAAGCGAGTTTCTTGAAGAGTCACCTGCCAAACTCCACTAGATTCATCTCTACAGTAAGTATTCCTGGCTCTTTCCATGAAACTAGACACCACCCTCCCCAAAAGGGGGTCTTTATATCCATAAGGAGTGTATTTCCAATGTTTGTCATATTAAACCTGCAGTCCATCCCAGGCATAGAAAAAAAAAAGTTGATCATAAGTAGCCCAATGCAAGCTGAGTGCACAAGTGACTGTGCCTTTTCGTAATTGGGTAGTTTTACCACTTAAATATATTTAATCCATTTTACTCTGGAATGAATTATGTAGTATCTTTTGGAATTATCTTAACGCTGATATTGTCTCCTTCTTGGTTACATTTTGGATAACATTGTGGTTTTGAAATCCTGATTAAATATAGGATTAATCTAGAGTCTGACATATAGAGCCACAAACGTATCTTCTTGCATCCTCTAGAGGTGATGAACATTGCAATCTCCTGAGATTTTGCAATATTCTTGAAATTTCTTCTGACTCTGTTTTGCAAATATTTTTCAGTTAAGCCATACGTACTTTGTTAGAAACAAATTTTGTTTATTTTGTTAAAATTCGGGACATGCAGGAGAGAGAGAAAAGAAGTAATCTATAATATCAGATAATGAAAATAAAATCTTATAATACAACTTCCTGTTAAATTTAGAAACCTTTGGGCTGGGCATGCTAGCCACTTGCTATAGGTACATTGTATAAACAGGCAACTTAAACTGCGCTCACAAAAGGCTTGTTACTAGATTTTTTTGCAACATCTTCTAACATGATTGAAATGTTTTAGAATATTTATTTTTAAAGTATTAAGTCACTTTTATATTTTCAAAATGAGAGTTTTAAAATGTCATAATTTTAAAATTACATATTAATTATAGTTAGACACTTTTGGGATACAAATACTGTTGTATGACAGACATAATTTTCAATGTTGATAAACAATAGAATTTCTGAAAAGGTAAAAATGCCTTAACCAATTATTGGACTTATTTTTAGTTTGTTATTTTATTACTTACCAAAATCTTCACAGCTGCAATAAAATATCAAATTTTATTTAGTCTAATTTATGGTTTTGTATTTTTATTTCAAATGTTTATTATTCTAATTAAAGTAAATTTTGTTGCACTAAGAAGTATTAAACATGTTTGCAATTAAATTAGGTTAGAGTTTTGTTAGAAAACTGACAACTGAAACTATTTCAGTTTGCTTCTTGTGGTTCAAATAAATAAATGATGTCAACTTTCTATCATTAAGTCAATATTAAGGACAGCCTGAGAAGCCACTATTACAATTTCCCACTAGGTGTCTCTATAGGCTCCTCTGCAGGAAAGTGAATTTTGAGAAAACACTGTGACATGAAGAGACCACAGAAAAACTTGGGGGTGTGGGGTTGGGGGGAACATTATAGAAATAAGGAAAAGCCTCATTTACTAGTCTGTAGACTCCTGTTTTCTTTGAATATTTACTATTGCCTTGAAATGAAATACATGAATCATATAACAGTGATAAAATCTGAGGCTTTAACCACAAGAATAATCATTATCTATGTTTCAGTCCATACTGAACAACATACAGTCATATGATATGTGTACTTGCTTTCCTACAGTACTCAAATAAATGCACCTGATTACATAAACACATTTGGAAACCATAAAATGAAATGATTGATGAAATATAGCTCTCCAAAATTAAAGTCATTAATACTAAATTAAACATTATTTGATTGAGTTGGATGTGAAAAGCTGAGAATCATTGTCCAAATACTTGTGCATATATTTATGCATGTTATAATTAGTTCATGATGTAGTGGCATCATGAATGCATTTCATATATGGAAATATATGTGGCTTTAATTAGTGCAAATTGTGGACATAATTTGATTCCTGCATATTAAAATTTAAATTAAACCACAATTAGCTTACTTGTCACTTGAAATTGAAATATGTGAACTCATATTTATTACTACCTGGAATTGTTGTTTTAGTGTCTATGGGCTCTTTGGAGGAATTCTTATATTATATGCATGTCTTAAAATATATTACATTTGTGTTACACTGTGTGGTTTGTTTAGAATATTAAAATAGTTAAAAATTATAGTTTCTTATGAAGCAAACTAACAGATTATAAATAAGGATATTATTTGGCAATAATTTTGAAATCTCATAAGAACTAATCAACATCATTGAAATTTAAATCCAGTAGACCTTGGATTACTTTTTGTTAGTCTAATTGGTGAGATGAGATTATAGAATTTCAATGCTAGATTCCTCATTCCTCTAAAATTAGCTCTATTAGGTTACGTTTATGATAGTAATAGCTAAGAAATCTATAAAATATTTATTAAGTGACAGTTTTTTCAGAACTAATTTATATTTTTATTGTCTTTGACATTGAAATTATATATACCACATATTCATAAATGGAGAAAAGTTTTTTCTGGATGGTAAAACATGAGTCATCATTTATAATTGTTTCTTCATGCAATTGCTAAATTAAATAACCATATAGCATATGTTTTTGATCAGTCTGACACATTTGGAATTATAACAATCAAATATACAATGCAATGATGTTTATTAAATCCAAAATGATCATTATAGACTTAATTAGTTATTTACCAGCTTAGAGTATGTTCTCAGAGGCATAAGAGGAAGATGTGCATAAAATAGTCAATTCTCTTCCTCACTTCATACAGTTCCTTGCAAATACATCCTGATATTCTTCTGCCAGAATTATGTGTTAAAAAATTCTCTTTGGAAATATTTACCAAAATTTAAAATGCATAAATCTTTTGAACAATTATATTTTCAGAAAGTAGTCTACAGGTGTACTAGAAAATGCACAGAACAATATGTAAGAAGACAGTCATTCTAGCAGTGGTTTGCATTTGTAATTGACTAAGAGCAGCATCTACACCTTGGGATAATCTTCTGTCTTAATAATAATAGTGCATTTAGTAACAAAATATGAGAGAGGAAGAGAGAGAGAGAGAGAGAGAGAGAGAGAACCTTTTGTGGAAAGATACACAAATTCAGTTATGGTAGTTACATCTTGGGAAAAGACTGGGGAGTTTTGAGTAGAATGGAGACTTATTTTTTTCAGCATATATTCTAATTTTTAGTATTTGAAAATTTCAGTTTGCATCACAATTTAGTAAAACATTAGCAAGAAAATATATGTATTTGAAAAATAACAATATGTGAAAGAATGATATGAAAGATGATGGAGAGCTGGAGATGGCTTTACCAAATTACTTTCTGTCCCACAATTTTCAAAACTATTGCATTTTTATGACACATTGCTATTA